GCAAAAACAAGACAGAATTAGCGGCGTGCGAAGACTCAGCGAACGTATTGTCCCAAGTGACAGCTAACGATTAAAAAAGTAATAATCCGGGTGTGGTCATCCCACCAAGGTCAACTTTTATCGATCATAAAAGAAATATTTCCAAAAGATCTGAGCCAGAGGTTTGGTTCTGCACTTGTGTAGGAGTTTTAAGAATTTTTCGTAGACGTTTGCGGAGACAGCATTAATAAATTTTAAGGTTCTCTTTTGTTGTAGAAAGGAAAATGTCTCGTCCTTGAACTTTTGAATCTGTGATGGCTTTTCTGATAAAAAGTCAACAGGAAAAGCAAAGTTTTTGACCTCAGAAAGAGGGAGAAGACTGCCTCTGTCAAAAGTACGGACTGTCTTTGATTTACAATCATTCGTTTAGTGTCCAAAATTACAATGGCCCTGAAAAAGTGACTTATGACTGTTTTTTCCCACAACTGTTGCAGCCTGTCCATATCATGTGATCAAAATTCAGATGCTTAGTGACTGGCTCATAGGACAGTTGCAGTGTCCCAGGATCATGTGATCCCCTTTTTATGACCTCAAAAAAACAAAGCAAAATCCATGGGGAAAAGCCAGATTCACTTAACAACCGGGCTACTAACTTAACAGCTGCAGTGATTCACTTAGCAGCGGTGGTGAGAAATATCGTAAAATGGGGCAAGCGTCCCTTAAACAACGGTCTTTCTTAGCGATGGAAATTTTGGGCTCACATGGTCATAACTCGAGGACTGCTTGGGAGGTACGCATTTGCCACTTGCAAGTCTGTGTCAGGAACGAAACAGTTCAAAAATCCCAGGATTTCTGTTCTTGCCCTAGGCAGCCCTTCACCTCCCATCTCTTGAGTACAAAAATTTCTTTTATGGCTTGTCTAAGGAAATTAAATCTCTTAGCTTTGCTGTAGCCTTTTGTTAACACAAGATGTGGCTGTCCGGAGCGCTCCAATTATCGTGCCACCAAATTGCATCCATTTAGAAAGCGGGATCTAAACTTTAAAACAATCTTTTTTTAAAAAAATCAAAGTTTCCTTTCTCCCACTTAAAAAAGCAAACCTTAATTAAAATAAGACGTACCGTACGTGAGTTACCCAACCTTATTCCCCTGGTTTTGTCAATACGAGGCCATTAAAGCATCTCAACAATCAAAAGATTGCTGATGCTGCACAAACCTTTATGAAATCTCTCAAAAACAGCCGAGTCCAGCGCTGTTTAAAATATTCATCTGTTGACTCCACAATACAATTCCTCTTAAGATGCAAACTAACCACGTTTGGCCGTGGAAAAAAGCGTTCTTTTCTTGACATCTAGCCTCGCGGCATCTTCCCTGCTCAAATTTTTGGGGCTGATGACAGCAGACAGTTCTAGGTGATGGCACATAGGCGAAATCAACATTATTTTTATTCCCCGTTGCACAAATCGGCATCATAGTCTGGGTAGAACAAAAATAGAAACCAGGTCAAAGCAACATTGGCAAGAATGACTTCATTTCTCTAAAGATTTTAAAGAAAGAATTCGGTGTAGACGAGACGGTGAAAACCTACCTGAAGAATCCAAAGTAAGAGCAAAATAACTAAACAAAGGGACCTAAATTTGTCATGGAGGTTACAGCCATCCTAGGTGTCAATTACCTATGAAATTATAACATTTTTCTCCTTGTTTTACCTTTATACGTTGTGGATATTTGTGTGTGCTGCTCTAAATTAAGCTTCAGTGTCTTCGTATTCCGTTAAGCACCGGGGTCTTTGGATTAGTTTTAGGTACAATTAGTTCTCAACTTACAACCGTCCGTTTTGTGACTGTTTTAATGTCACTGTAAAAAGGGGTTTACGCTTAGGAAGGTTGCAACATCGCCTTGGTTACATTCTCAAAATTCGGGCGCTGGGCAACTGGCTCATATTTATGACGGTTGCAGTGTCCCTGGATTATGTGATCCCGTTTTGCGGTCTTCTGACCAGCAAACTCAATGGAGAAGCCAGATTCACTTAACCATGTTAAGTGAGCCACGGTTGTGCAGTGGTTAGAGTGCAGTACTGCAGGCTACTTCGGCTGCCTGCCGGCTGCCTGCAATTTGGCACTTCGAGTCTCACCAGGCTCAAGGTTGACTCAGCCTTCCGTCCTTTCGAGGTGGGTAAAATGAGGACCCAGATTGTTGGGGGCAAGAGGCTGACTCTGTAAACCGTTTAGAGGGAGCTGTAAAACACTGAAGTGGTATATAACTCTAAGTGCTATTGCTGTTTTCTTTTTCTTTCTTTCTTTCTTTCTTTCTTTCTTTCTTTCTTTCTTTCTTTCTTTCTTTCTTTCTTTCTTTC